TGGGAATTTTGTTTTTACCTTTGTAATGGCATTTTTCTAACTTTATTAAAAGTATGTAATCTTTTATGTCAAATTCAAAAATATATATTTATAAGCTTTTTACATGAAGCTCCTTACACTGCACAATGAATCTCTTATTTACACCGTCAACACTTTGTTTGTTATAATGAGAGGATACGTCTGTGATACATTACTCAACGCTGCAGAAACACGTATGTTAGAACCTTCGGGTCAGTCGCACAGGTGCTCCTAAATATGATTTCATAGTCGCACGCAGTAGTTTTCAGTCGCAAATGGTCGCACTGTAGAGCCCTGTTACTGTATATTATCTCTGTGTGATTCACTCACCAGGCTCATCTTTCCCGCGAGCAGCAGTTGGGTCTCACTGTGCAGAGCTTTGACATTACTGACCATCTCCATCACCACATTACAGGTCAAACCCTACAAACACACACGCGACACGTCAAAGATGTCATGAACCAAACCAGAGCAGTTGAGCACCAGTTATGATGTCGTAATCCACACACTGACTCACCCCGCTGCTTTTGGAGTTTGCGTACACCAGATCCATGGCCTTAGAGCTAGCGTTGACTGCATGAGCCAATTCCTGCTCGATGGTGTGATGAGACTGTGCTGCTTCCCTGATACTAAACACACATTCATGCTTGTTTGTATATTAGATTTATATATGCATATACATACATACATACACACACATATATATATATATATATATATATATATATATAATAGACAGCATGTTTGTAATATAAAGTATATACACTAATCTTCAAAAGTTTGGGGTTGTTAAGATTTGTTAATGTTTGTGAATCTCTTCTGCTCACCAAGGCTGCATTTATTTGATCAAAAGTACAGTAAAAATAGTGAAATATTTTTAGAATTTAAAATACATGTTTTCTATGTGAATATCTGTTAAACTGTTATTTATTTCTATGATCAAAGCTGAATTTTCAGCATCATTACTCCAGTCTTCAGTGTCACATGATCTTCAGAAATCATTCTAATATGCTGATTTGCTGCTCGATAAACATTTCTGATTATTATCAATGTTGAAAACGGTTGTGCTGCAGAATATTTTTTATTTTTCAAGATCCACAGATGAATAGAAAGTTCAAAAGAACAGCATTTATTTGAAATAGAAATCTTTAATGTCTTTACTCTCACTTTTGATCAATTTAATGCGTCCTCAATGAATAAACGCACATTTCATTTAAATAACCGTACCTCACATGAGTTCAAATCTGTGTACCTGTGTATAAGTGCACCGGCTGCTTGTCCGAACAGGCTGATCTGAGTGGTTTCCTCTTCAGAAACGATCTCCGGCTGCGATGCATGCTGGGAAACCAGCCGTGGAATCTCGCCTCTCTGTTTGTCCTCCCACGACTTCAGAGTGTTCTCGAACGCCTGGAAAAAAACAGCCGTATGTGAGCTGCGTTTCACTTCTCCGAGAGCTTCACACCGAGTTCCCATAATGCTGTGCGTGTGGCACTGACCCGGTCTCTGGTGAGGGTTTGTGTGCGGTTCTTGTGGAGGATCCGGATGTATCCAGGCGGTTGGATCCAGGCCTCCCCATCCACCTGCACAGGTACACCTTCATCTCCCAGAATAGTGATCTTCACTGTTCGACACTGATGAGACCCCACACACACACACACACACACACCACACACAAACACCACACACACACTCGGTTACACAGACTCACGGCCTCAAAACACATTTTGAGAAAACCTCCTTTAGGCGATGTCCTCACATGTAAAAACAGTATAAAAACGCAGAAAGCTTTCTGCTAGGGTTACAGTGTTTATAACTAGTTCTAACAATCAAAGTCTATGGAATATGCTCATTTAGATACACTACACTACATGTAAGATTTTTTTAAAGTCTCCTCTGCTCACCAAGGTTGCTGTAAAAAATACAGTAAAACCAGTAATACTGTGAAATATTTAGGGCTGCCCCCTAATAGTTGACTAACCTTTAATCGACGAGAAGAGGCTTGGTCGACCAAAATTTGATTAGTCGCTTAGACGCAGAAAAAAAAAATCCACATGAAGTGGTGAGGTCACGCAGTCCGTGACGAACAGATCGTTAACGGCTGGATTTTGTGGTAATACAGTACATCCAAACGCTCGCCTATCATTCATCGACCTCAAATATGGCTTATCATCTGAAATATGTAAGTAGTAGCAACTTTACATGGCCGCTCAATCTAATGTTAACTAGAAATATGTGCGCTGCGCTTTTGTGAAATAATGACAGCAAACAGGATGCGCTTTCTGTCGTCTCGGTCTCTGTGAACTTGAGCGCGAAACTCTGTGTATACTTGCCTTACAGACATGAAAAATGTATCTATAGAGAGTGAAATGTCTACTTTCAAATGAAAAATTCAAATCTGAAAAAAAAAAATATATATATTCTCAGATTATGTAATCCGTATGAAACTTGCATGCAGGCGCATTACTACTGTGGAGATGACGAGTCAGTGTCGCCGACTTTATCTCTTAAGCCGAAAACACTTTTTTATCAATAGATTATTAAAATGTTAATGCAGTTTAATCTTCCTGTTTCTTCCTGACACATTCATCATCATTACTTCTGCCGGTGTGCTGTGGTAAGCTTTATGAGTGCGCTTAAGCACTAATTAGGCTATGTAGGCAATTAAAGGCTCATTAGCATGATTTAAATGGTTTATTAAAGGTTTATTAAATGTGCGATTAGTCAACTAATGCTTTAAATGAACTACTACTAGTCGACCAGAAAAATCTTTAGTTGAGGGCAGTCCTATAAATATTATTACAATTGAAAATAATTGTTTCCTATGTGATCTTTGATATATTTTTTATCCAATAATATATATTTTATATATACATTTACATAACCATTTAACAGTTTGGGGTCAGTACAATGTTTTTTATTCAGCAAGGATGCATTAAATGTGATAAAATGCATTTAATGTGCATTAAAAGTGACAGTAAAGACATTTATAATGTTACAAAAGATTTCTATTTCAAATAAATGCTGTTCTTTTGAACTTTCTATTCATCTGTGAATCCTGAAAAATAAAATATATCACGGTTTCCATAAAAATATTGTGCAGCACAACTGTTTTCAACATTGATAATAATCCTCGAGCAGCAAATCAGCATATTAGAATGATTTCTGAAGATCATGTGACACTGAAGACTGGAGTAAAATTGAGCTTTGATCACAGGAATAAATTACATTTTAACAGATACTCAAATAGGAAACAATTATTTTAAATTGTAATAATATTTCACAATTTTACTGAATTTCTGATCAAATAAATGCAGCCTTGGTCAATGTAAGTGTGTGTGTGTGTGTGTGTGTACCTGTGCGATACGGTGATGCTGTAGATTAATAACTCTAGAAACAGCCATCTGCATGCTGCCGAACACAGCCACCACTTCCAGGATCTTATCGTCAAACGACGGCGACACACACACACTCATTCACTCACACACACACACACACACTCACTCACTCACTCACACTCACTCTCTCACACACACACACACTCGCACACTCTCACACGCACACACTCTCACTCTCACACACACACTGACCTCCAGCAGAACTCTCTGTTCCAGGTTCTTGTATGTTCTGTGCAGAAGTTCTTTGGTTCCCAGGACTCCATACCACATCATGTTTTTAGTGCGACTCCTAAACAAACATACAAACACACACACACTATCAGAAATGTTTCTTGAGCAGCAAATCAGCATATTAGAATGATTTCTGAAGGATCATGTGACACTGAAGACTGGAGTAATGATGCTGAAAATACAGCTTTGATCACAGAAATAAATTACAGTTTACTATTTATTCACATAGAAAACGTGTTATTTTAAAAGTTATTTTAAATTGTAATAATATTTCACAATTTTCCTATTTTTACTGTATTTTTGGTCAAATAAATGTAGCTTTGGTGAGCAGAAGAGACTCTTTCAAAAACTTTTGCAATGATATATTTGATGTGTTTATGTACCTGCATTTCTCTGGATGCTCGTCACGTTTATTGTTGAAGTCCAGAGAGATCTTGGCATCCAGACCGATCCCGAAATAATTATTCATCACACATTTCTCCGTGTACAGATCCCTGAAACACACAGAGAAGCACCTTCCCATCAGCCTTTGCTCTAAATTCGACCGGTCGACAGACAAACAGACAGAAGCGACGACTCACAGGTTCTCCGGATCACAGCTGAACGGATCAGCGTTGACCAGCAGCCTGGTGATCACCGAGCCGCTAAAAGAGCCCGACACACCAGCTCTGAGACCTGCACGCACAAACACACAACATGAGCCTCTGAACGACAGCAAAACCTCTGACGCTTCCACACAGACTCTTACTTGGGTAGAGGATCTTAGTGTTCAGCATGGGCATGTTCTCTCTGCTTCCTGTCTGAGCAGGAAGTGAGGCGGAGCTGCCTATGGACAGGCTTCCTTTACTGATGAGCTTCTCACATGGAGTCTTAGACGCTGAGATGGAGAGACAGAATGAGCAAACGAGCGCCGCTGTATGTCACTAATGAGTCGTTGTAATGAGTCGCCTCACCTCGTCTGCTGGCTCGCGCTCTGCTGCTGTATGACGACTGCAGAGACAACGTTTCTGAACCATCATCCTCCTCTTCTTCCTCCGCCGGTAGTGAAGGCAAACCCTCCTCCGTTTGAGCGTTCTGTTCATCCACCGCTGCAAGACGAGATCACATGGTTTTGATAATAATCACTCTTCATTTTGATGATATTGATATTTAATCCCAAGTTTGATCTTTTAGTTTGTGCTGTTTTGTTGATGCATGAACAAAAATTTTTAGTGCACCTGTCATCCAAAAATTATAATGAGCTTTGTGTTTATTACTTCTGACATTAATCAAAGTCTGAACACAAACAAACACACACACAAACAATCAAACAAACAAACAAACACACACACACACACACACACAGACACACAAATATATACACACACACACAGACACACACAGACACACAGACACACACAGAAATATACACACACACACACACACACACAGAAACACACACACAAATGCACACACACGATGCACGCACACACACACACTCACACACGCACACAAACACACACGCAAACGCACACACACATGCACTCACACACAAACGCACGCACACACACACTCTCACACACACACACACAAACAAACACACACACACACTCTCTCACACACACACACACACAGAGACACACTTTTTCCAAGGTAAACAATTCACAGTTAAGAATAAATACTTCATTTTTACGAACTTTTATGTTTACAGTTTCAATAAATTTTAGTCTCTGGATTGTACAAATATAGCAATTCCAACCTTAATTATTTCAATTAATTATTTAAATGATTTAATATATATTTATTACATAATATTTACATCATTTATATATTAATATAATTTTTTCTGTAATTTACAGCAGAAATAACGCTACCTTTCTCCGTGTGCTCGATGATTTGTCTGATGGCTTTCTTCAGGCTGTTGGCGCGAAGCATCAGCTGCTCTCGAAATTTTAGTCTCTGGATTGTACAAATATAGCAATTCCAACCTTAATTATTTCAATTAATTATTTAAATGATTTAATATATATTTATTACATAATATTTACATCATTTATATATTAATATAATTTTTTCTGTAATTTACAGCAGAAATAACGCTACCTTTCTCCGTGTGCTCGATGATTTGTCTGATGGCTTTCTTCAGGCTGTTGGCTCGAAGCATCAGCTGCTCTCGGGGTTTGAAGATGGCGGCGGGCGGTCGAGGCGAACAAGTGGCTGTGACTGTGGGCGGGGCAGTGGGCGGAGCCAGAACCACACCCTCCCCATCCACCTGCTCCTCAGCGATGGTGGGTGGAGGCGCAGACATCACACTGCTGGCCTGGGCTTCATCGTTAAGCGTTTTCAATAACGAGTCCAACTTTTCTTTTAGCACACCACACTGCACACGAAAACATCCCGAGTCATTCATCAGCCAATCACAGAGCACTCCAGAACAGCGAGTCATCCGATAGCCAATCACAGCTGACCTTTTTAGCCATGGCCTCTGATTCTTCTAAGTTTTCGGTGTTTTTCTCGTAAGCACGTCCGACTTTTGCAACAAAGTCTTTAACCGTCTCACACAGGACTCTGAAAAACATGCTTTTAGATAAACCACCAGCTAGAATACGCATGAACAGAAATGCTCACGTGTACAGTACGTACTTGGCGGATGAAATGACCACAGAGTGCTGATCGGACGTCAGGATTTTGGAGAGATGAGCAGCGACTGAGTCCTCATAGGTCAGAATGTGCTGCACCTGAAACACAGAACAGCCAATCAGAGCAGAGGAAACACAGAACAACCAATCAGAGCAGAGGAAACACAGAACAGCCAATCAGAGCAGAGGAAACACAGAACAGCAGCGGTTACTTTAAAAGAAAAGATTTTGATGTACTATCTGACATAATGATTATTTAATTGTAAATAAATAAAGGGTGGAAAAAAAGTTCTAAATTACAACTGTTTATGGTGCAAGAAACCTTCACTAACATTAAAACTGGGGGGACAAATGTTAATGAAAAGCTCCAGATTTGCTGTGCTTGTTTGTAGGGCAGTAATTTGCACCAAATTTTGTGATTACATCAACATGACCATAACAATAATTATTAATATTTTTTATCATGATGATTATTATTACTACTACTAAATAAAATATATAACTAATCAAAATATTTATATTGTAATATTTCAATGTAAAACAAAAAAATACAATAATTTTCAAGAACTGTAAAATTACAACATTTAAAAATAAAATAAAATAAAAATAAATAAATAAAACAGCTCCAGATTTGCTGTGCTTGTTTGTAGGAAAGCAAATTGCACTAAAATTTTATGATTATATATCAATACAACAATAACAACAATTATTAATACTTTTATTATAATTGTTATTATTACTAAATACAAATATTACTATTGTAATACAAAAAATATAATAAAATATTTAATTATACAATAATATTTATGGCTGTCATAATTTCTTAATTTTCAAACGTTGAACCATCAAGCTTTTATTTTGTAAAAGATCACATACTTATTTTATTAAAGTACCGCATATATTTATTTAATGAAATCACAGCCTTTAAGATTTGATAATTGCACTAAGCATTCAGTTTTATTTTGATTAATCATGCAACCATAATGTACAGTATATATTTATATACTATTATAGAACTGAATTAACTTTTATTGTTATATTTTTTTTTTATTTTAGCATTTTTGTTATGTGCTTTTGTCATTTTTATTACCATTTTATTTATTTATTGTTTTTATTTAGCTTTAATTTATTTTATTTCAGTTAAATATTTTTTCAACTTTAACAAAAACAGATTTTTTTTTTTTTCACTTATGTTTAATAAGTTTTTCAGAGGAAACCGATTCACAATTAAGGATGAATACTTGACGTACAATAAAGAAAATGTCCAAATGAAGGCCATTTATACACACAGCAGCATGAAATATCATCACTGTTACCTCTGGGTCCTCACTGCAGTCCTCTGTTACCGTGGAGCTGGAGTGTTGCCGTGGTAACTTGGTCTCGTATACCATAATACTCCATCTAGGAGAAATAAACGTGTTTAAATGTTTGTCAAGGACAGGAACAGACTGCGACAGCGACTTCAGACACACTCTGACCTGTCCAGCATCTTAGTACTGGCTCTCTCTAGTTTCTCCAGGATCTGCGGTAACTGAGTGTCGTCGTCACACGCCGAGCCCCACCCCAAAACTCTCGCCAGGTCATTTCCTGTTCCCAGAGGAAGTACGCCAAGCTGGCACGCGCACACACACACACACACAGACAGACACACACACGTCAACACTGTTCTTGACATAAACCTGTAACTCAAACAGCAGAGCTTGGATAAAGATGGGTTTGATTTCCAGGGAATGCATGAACTGAGAAAACGTAAACCTTGAATGCAATTTAAGCCGCTTCAGATAAAAGCATTTGCTAAACGCATAAATGTTAACATAAAACATATATATATACATATATAAATAAACAGAACTGATTTTCAGCCAGGCACAAAAATCCACCACCAGGAGGCAGTATAAGCAAAGAAACTTTGTCTGAAACTCTATTGTGTCCTACACTTTATGCCATATTTAAGGCCCTAAGAAATTCATTTAAATTTTCCCCCCAAATTCAGTTTTTTCCAATTTAAATTCAAAATTCAGTGTTTTTATTTTATTAATTTGTATTAATTTATTTATTAATTTTTATTAATATAATTTTATTAGTATTAATTATTTAATAATTTTAATTTAATAATTTTTTTATTTATATTTTTCTGGATAATAGTTTTAATTAAAGTTTAATAATCAAAAAGCATGTCTAAATAATTGAATTCACACAAATTTAACAATTTAATCATCTACAATTTTCACAATAATAGATTCCTATGAAATATTTATTTATTTATTTATTTATTTTACAAATTCTGTGTTGTCTGTTTAAATTTTTCTGGATTTATTAGTTAATACAAATGTATTATCAAAAAAGGTAGTAATCAAATGAAAGCATAAAACATTAATGAATCTTTAAAAATTTAATGAAATGATAATTTAACAATTCCTTTTATTTTTTGGCAAAAAAGGTGCTGCACAATAGAGGTTTCTTGATAAAATTAAATTAAATATAGAAGAAATGGTGTGATATTCCTTAAAAAATAGAGTTCATAATTGTATTATTATTATTATTTGAGAAGTACATTCTACAGTACAATACTAAAATATATTTCTGTAACGATTTCATTCAGTTAAAATGAACTTTTATTTTGACAGGTTGCAGTGAACGCCTTTAAGTAATGATGAAAAACCAATGTATTGTAGTTAGAAGAATGCAAGTTGAGATTCTGCTGTTTTCACAGTATGATTATGTATCCGTTTGTGAATGAATTTGTACCTGTTTGTGTAAAGTCAGCGTGTCTATCTCTGATAAAACCCATCCAACGCTGCCGTCGCCTCCACACACCAGAATACGAAACGTGTCGAACTTCTGAAACAGACGCAAGCTGCGGCAGACACACAAACACAGGTACAGATGTCAATGAGCAAATACGAAGCGCAGAGTTTCTGTGAACAGGTACAGGTGTGTGTTTTACCCCAGATGTGGCCCTCCGTTCATCAGATCGAACACTTGTGCAGGATTCAACAGCTGCTTAAAGCGCCGCAGGAACTTCACGCCCTGATTATCTCCAGGGTTAAAACGGCAGCAATTCCAGACCGGCCATAA